TCATAGTGGAGGATTCGTGATTGGCAGCGTGGCCACGACCGGTTTTGATGATTTGCATAGAGCTTTAGCGACTGAGGTCCCGTTTGTAGTCGTATCAATCGAGCATCGTCTTGCTCCCGAGCACAGGCTGCCGGCAGCCTATGAAGATTGCTTGGAAGCTTTGCACTGGATCAAGAATTCACAAGACGAATGGTTGGAAAAGTATGCAGATTTATCAAACAGTTTCCTCATGGGCAGCAGTTCAGGGGGAAACATTGCCTATCATGTTGGTTTGAGTGCATCTTCACGCGTTGATGATCTTAAACCTTTGAATATTAAAGGGTTGATTTTGCACCAAGCATTTTTTGGTGGCAACAAGAGGACAGAATCGGAGTTGAGGGCTCTGAATGACACGCTTATACCGCCCCGTTTTGCTGATGTCTTGTGGGAACTTTCGTTGCCCGTTGGTGCTGACCGAGATCATGAATTTTCTAATCCAGTTTTGAGCATCAAACCTGGACAATTCGATCAGATTAAAGCTTTAGGATGGAAGATTTTAATGGCAGGATATGAAAATGATGCATTGTTTGATCGCCAATTTGAGATTGCCAAAATGTTAGAAGACGAGGGTGTTTCCGTGGTGGCTAATTTTGTTGAAGGAGGTTATCATGGAATTGACATTTTTGAGTTTCCCAAAACTAAAGTCCTTTGTGAGGTTGTGAAGGAGTTTATAATCTCCCTTATGACAACAGCTTAGACAACTATGTCAGAGGTTTTTACCCGGATGAGTATTTATCCAAATGAACAATGATGTTAAATCTTTGTACTTCTCAACATGTTGCTCAATTTCTTGCAAGTTTCATAAATGGAAATCAATAATGTTGATTAATTATGTGACGTTCTTGGCACCTAGTCTTGTCACATACTGGTTCAGAATGGTTTAAGAATTAATAATGCTTAACTCAATAAAAACTCATTTAGTACAGGCATATATGTCCTGGATGCCACAGTATCCGTCTTCTTCTGATCTGATTGAAGGTAATTGGTGATTTTTATGTGTTATTATCTATATGTGTGAAGTTTGTAGTGTCTCTTAAAACTAATACTACAATTAAGAGAAATTAAAACTTTTTTATTAAGAGAAATTTAAAAAAAATAAAATCTGACAATACTATACTGATAGTCAATATAGAGGTGGTAAGACTCCCAAGTTTATCCATACCAAAAGAAATGAAAAACATGTCAACATATTCTTAAAGTGCATTCTAACAAAATTGTGCCTCACCCAATTTTTTTTGGAGGGAAGGGGGGGGGGGGGGGTTAGGGTGTTCTTCACCACTGTTGTTATATGCCAGTATTCGTAGGAGAGAAATGTATTAGTCGGTATTGAAAGCATTTAGTTGTAGTCGAGTCAAAAACTAAAAATTGCATGACCAATAATTGCATGATTGATAATAGATAATTCGATTTTTCAGAAATTGATAATTGCATGATTGATAGTTGTAGTTGAGAAGGGTGTCGTCATTGCTGGCTATACAGGGAGTAACATAACTGAAGAGGCAAAATCAGGGAAAAAAAAAAGAAGAAAAAGGAAAAAAAGAGGCAAAATCAGATCTTAGATAAAAGTTATATAACCCAAAATTGACCCAACCATGGAGTTGAAAATATATAAATCAAGGGACCTCCGGTGTCTATTCTCCAAAATTATTGAAATCGATTCTTTGTACTGGAGATTTTAGTTTTACCAATGTCTTCAAAATGCATGCTATTCTCACAAGCCAATAACACTTTTTCATAGGGTTAAATACCAAAAACCCCCTTGTGGTTTGACTAATGTTCACTTTACCTCCCTATGATTTGGAAACCTACAATTTAACTCCCTGTCGTTTCAACTAAAGTGAAAGTCTAACAGAAAACATCTACAATAACGGTATTTCTGTCAGACTTTCACTTTAGGTGAAACAACAGGGAGTTAAATTATAGGTTTTCAAACCATAAGGAGGTAAAGTGTACATTTGGCAAACCACAGAGGGGTTTTTGGTATTTTACCCATTCTCAAATGCACGAAACATTCTTCCAAGGGTTTGACTTATAGAGGGGCAATTTTGACATTTTCGTTTCAGGCGTTAGTTTAGATGTTTTCCGTTAGACTTTTACTTTACTTGAAACGACGATGAGTCAAATTGTAGGTTTCCAAACCATAGGGAGGTAAAGTGAATATTAGTCAAACCATAGGGGGGTTTTTGGTATTTAACCCCTTTTTCATACGCATTAAATGGTTCCTTCAAACTCCTGTCATTTATATCTTGAATTAATAAAAGCAACTATTGTTTTGTTGCTTTGGAAGATTAAATAAACCCATGTGTTTACATGAAAAGAAAATTTGCTAGCAAAATGCTTTTTAGAACGTTTTTATCATTATTTTGATCACTTTCTCACAAGATAGCAAAAAAGAAAAAAAGAAAATGGAAGTGACAGATTAAGTCCCATGAAATATATATATATATATATATATTTTGGGATAATTTCAAAAACCTCTCTTGAGGTTTAAGACAATATCATTTGACACTTCTAAATTAACTTTAAGAAATCTCACATATATCCCTTAATTTTCAACTTTTTATAACTTTATCAGCCCATTTTAAAAGATATGATTTAAGAACTCATTTTGGGAGAGATAAAAGATTTCTATTCAAAATTACCCTTGTTGTGGACCTTTAGTTTTCATAATAAACCAAGATAAATCCTTAAGAATTACAACATATAAATTAGGTTGAAAGACCTTTTGCAATTTTTGAAGTCATCAGTCTAGACAAGGAGTGCAAAAGAAAAAATTATTATAATTAGAAAAAAATAACATTTTGTGCCTTGAAAGTACCTCAAATTAGTTTCTAAATGTATTGTTAATAATTTATCTTTCTCTTTTTTTCAAGCCATCAATTTGGAAAAAAATGTTAGAGTACTAAAAAAATTCTAAATTCATCTAACAATACATTGTAATAAAGAAAGTTCGTGTTATGTTTTTTAAAACACCTCAAATGAGTTTGTAAATTTAATTTTAGAAAGTTGTGTCTGTCTCTGATATTCAAGTCATCGGTCTATACAAAAAAAATTAGAAATTTTAAAATTCATAAATTTTTAAAACTGCTCAAAGTTCAAGGGTATCAAAGTGATATTGTCACAAATCTCAGGGGAAGTTTTTGAAATTATCCCTTTTTTTAGCAAAAGTTAGACTTTTATTGATGGAACAAATTCTGCATTGCACTCTTGAACTGAAACCAGTTTCTCAGTTTGCATTCTAAATTTTAATTTTGAATATTTTGCACCCTAAACTCTTAATTTTGAATACCTTATAACGTAAACTCTTAAGTTTGTCCTATTTAAATCTAGTCAATGACAACTTTTATAAAATTAACGGCATAGAGAACACAACAAATCAATGATAATATGTCAAAGTAATCAAAAGGTACCAAGGTATCGTAACAAAAATAAAACAATACATTGTTATTAATTTGCAGTATCTTTTATCTCGTTAATTTTGCTATCAATATTAGTAATTGAAACCATATAAATCAATAATAATATGCTAAAAATGGTTAAAAAAATAAAGCCAAGCAATTGCCAGTTAGAATAAAATGGTACATTGTCATTAATTTTTACCGACCTTTATCTCTTTAATTTTACGATTATAATCATTGATTGGATTTAAATGGAACAATTTGAGAATTTAGGGTGTAAAGTGGTCAAAATTAAAAGTTTAGTGGATAAATGGATAATCCAAATCTTAACTACAGAGGAGCTGTTGGTGCTTTACTCGTGTAGGAAGGCAGTCGAGGCCATTGATGAAGGTGCTCCTTCATCTGTTCCTCCTAAAGGAGAGACGATCAATATCAAAGATGAGGGATCTTCTTGGAAGAGATTGGATGCTGTTCAAGCTAGAGCTTGCATGGAAATCTTCAAGGACAATGGCTCTTGCTGCATAAGTCTTGTACATTACATCGTTCAACCAGCAATATTGTTCATTTGATTGTCCTCTGTCTTGGATCATATAAGATGACAGTTACATGGAAATACTAATGTACATCGTTCAACCAGCAATATTGTTCATTTGATTGTCCTCTGTCTTGGATCATATAAGATGATAGTTACATGGAAATACTTTAGTATTTTCATGAAATTCTTACTTGGTAGGATCAGGAATGGGTATAGTTACTTGGTAATACAAAAAAAAAAAAAGTAACCAAAATATATAAATGGATTATAAATGGATAATTGGTTTTATATAATCCATTTAGATCCATCCATTTAGATCCATTTATTAAATGGATCTAAATGGATTGGATAAATTTCATCCACCATCCATTAAGTCAAAACCAATTATGAACCATTTATCCATATTGCCACCTCTAGTTTAGAGTATAAAATATCTAAAATTAAAATTTAGGATATAAATTAAAAAGGTGATACAAGTTTAAGATTGCAAACTGAAATTAGTTCTTATTGACATAGATTTGTAGGCTTAAAGCAGCCAGAAGCTACAGGTACATATACAATTCTATACACATGTACCAAATCTATACAAAAGAATTATGCTTTATCAAACCACTTTTGCGAAATTCCCCAATCAAGAAAAAGTTCCCAAGAGTAAATGAACTTGCACCACAATTGGAGTTGGAATTCCCCAATAAAGCAATCTCAGATGTTTTTCGATTAGGTTAAGGCTTAGATTTGATTTTGGATGCCGCCCCGAAGGAGCCAAGCACCTAAATCCATTGTTAACCCATAAGCCACCGTCTACAGCTTATCTCCACATGGCAATTTTTCATTGGCTACTCAGATATTGCATGAAAAATATCCACACAGTATGTGGTATTAGATAGAAACACCGTTGTGGGTTCCACCTCTTCACATTCTCGCCGTTCAATCCCTTGCAATCAATCAAATTCAAAGTTGTTTGACTTCTCCTGGTCCCACTTGGACAAAAGTACAACCAATCGGACGGCTAGTATTTAATCAGTCCTTTTCTGCTCTTTTGAGACCTCACCACACCATGCGCCACCCGATCCTGAGTTTCTTAAATATTCCGACTTCGTCACCGGAGACGACGAAGTTAAACATAAGCACCAATTCCACGACGTTTTAACCTAAGCGAACAAGGCAAATCAAAACTGAAAACCACGTCGTTTTGATTTGCTTGAAAGGGGAAAAATAGAATTTGCAGTTAAAAATGGAGTTCCCGTTAACTTTTCGGGCTGCGAACCCGGCGACGATGACGTTTTTGGGGAGTAAATGTGGAGTTAGCTTGTATGACGTGGCGGGGTTGAGTATGAAGGAGAAGAAGAGCAGGAAGAAGATGAAGCAGCTGGTGGAGGTGGTGAGAGTGAGTGCCACGGCGGAGAGGGGCAGCGGCCGGGAGGCGGTTGACGGTGGTGGAGCTGAACGAGAAAGCAGTAGCGGTGGTGGGTACACGAGCTCAGCTATGGAGGTGACCACATTCAATCAAAGGTTTAGAAGTGTTGAAACTGAATTTCCAGTTTGGGAAAAGATTGGAGCTGTCGTTAGACTCAGCTACGGAATCGGTGAGTTGTACTTTTTCCTTTCCGGAAGTGTTGAATGCAGAAAAAGAATTAAATTTTTTGTTTTATTTTCTGTGTGATTTTTTGTGAACAGAGAAAAGTGGTGTACCTTTAATTGCTTGAAATGAATATTTTCAACGATTACGATAGAATCCAGAAAGTGAAAAGAAAAAAGAGGAGAGAATTTTAGTACGTACTTATTCGATTTATTCCTACGAAATCTCAAAAAAAGGCTAAATAGTTCGACCATTTTTCGTACCAGGATTTTTAGCGACGCAAATGTTTCGGACAGCATCACAATTCACAGGCATCAAAAACTAGGGACAAGGGAATATGCTAAATTGTAGGGAGAAGGGATTAAACATTTTCTAAGTTTGAGAGGTTGAGGACGAAGTTTAGTCATATGTAATAACTTTTATAATATGTAATTTTGTTATTTTCATTTGATTAAGAAAGAATTTTGAAGACTACTTTTGTAGTGAAATCCGATGTCCTGTTGAAATTTAAGAGTCCTTACAACATAACCCATGTGTGTGAGGCAAAAATTTTCTGGAGAGTGTTACTGGATATTTTCAGGAACAATAATGTTGCTGGAAAAGAGTAAAACTCCAGCCAAATGGATATTTGTATTTTCTGTTGGAAAATTACTGAATAATCCAATGTTTTGCATACTAATCTTTATTTTATTTCACATGAGCTGCTGCTAATAAGCTAGAAAACCGTTATTTTCGTTGAAGTTCATGTTTGTTATCTGTAATTTAAGGTTGCTAGTTTGAGGGAAAAGAATTTATTCATGTTGAACGGATTTTGGTAAAATAATTTTGATGGTCCCTAAAGTTGTTTTTGAAAAGTCAGGAATATATGTCGCAATGGCTTTGGCGGGAAGGTTCATATGCTCCATGACTGGGATTGATAGCTCGGGAGGTTTTGATCCATCCCTAGATGCCATCGTTGAGGGACTGGGATATGCAGCTCCTCCAATTATGGCGCTTCTTTTTATTCTTGATGTAAGTTGTACCTTTTTGACTATAAATATAGAGTGCTTGACTTATTAATCAAACTGATCATTTTCTTGGACCGTAATTATCATGTATTATGTATGGTTATAGAAAGTTCAGCAGCTTATGGTTTTGAGATCTTAAAATTTGCTGCTCTGTGATTCCCTGCAATTGGTTTAATGAAGTTTACTCTGTGAACTATGAATAATGGATGCAGGATGAGGTTGTAAAATTATCTCCTCATGCTCGTGCAATAAGGGATGTTGAGGATGAAGAACTAAGGAGCTTCTTTTATGGCATGTCTCCGTGGCAGGTAAAACTCGGCTGTTCGTGCTGCATTTATTTTCTTCCATCTCCACTCTGGATTATCAACTGGAGAGGGAGCAGTAATCATTTTGGCTTATTAACTGCAGTTTATATTGATTGTGGCTGCAAGCTCTGTTGGGGAGGAGCTTTTCTACCGTGCTGCTGTCCAGGTCAATATCTCTGCAGCAATTTTCCTTCTTTCCATTCTCTTTATTTATTTATTTATTTGTTTGTTTTGGTGGAAATAACACAACATTTTAGTACCAAATTAAAACCAAAATTGGCTGGTGGTGGTCTTGTTTGCTTTTGCAATAGGCTTTCTCAAAGCCTACAGACCTCGATTGGAGTGGTTATCTTCACATGCTCCTTGACTTTTATCTTCCAATTCTTTGTTGGGTACCATCTATTGTCTTGAGACCTCTTCAGATTGAACATCAACTAAAGGATTGCTCCTGTTGATGCCGAAATAAATGTCTCTGTTAGTTTTTTATGGCATGAAAAATTTGGAGAAAAGTTGTGCATCGTTCACTTTTAATTGATCAAGTACCATGTCTAATGAAAGCATTAATCTTGTTCCTGATGATATGTCTTTCTCTTGCTCCAATTTCTTTGACATATGTAGGGAGCATTAGCCGACATATTCCTGAGAAGCACTGATTTGGTGACAGATGCTCGTGGGATGGCATCTATGGTAAGATTTTCTCTCCACAAACATTTCTTCTCGTAAAAATGTTTTATTCCTGATAGCTGATTGCTTATGGTTTTCTTTCTTCTGTTTTAGACTGGTTTCCTGCCGCCATTTGTCCCATTTGCTCAGGTGTTTGCTGCTGTTGTAACTGCTGCTCTTACCGGTTCTCTGTATTATGTTGCTGCCTCTCCGAAAGGTATCATAAATTTCAAAAAGAGAATATGTTTTGGTGTCCATTTTTCTAATATATCCTCAATATGCGCAATTCATGTTTTTTGTGACAAAAACAGTCTTTTGTTCTACTTTCAGATCCTACGTATGTTGTTGCACCAGTATTACAATCTCGTTCTCGGCGTGAAGATCTGAAGAAGCTGTTTGCAGGTTGCTTCTTGTTCCCTTGATGTAGAGCGATCTTTTTATTTTCTACACGAGGACACCTCATTTTCTTATATTTGCTAGCAGTAAAACAGCTATTTCCAATACATGTTGCGTGGGAATCATATATGGCAATCAATAGGAGGAGGAAACAATTAGAATTTCCGGTGACTGCCTATTCCAAACAGAAAATGTGTTTCTACAGATAAGCTTGATTAGCATGATGATGTTCTTTATCAACTTCTTCAATAGAAGTATGTTCATCTTAAACTCGATCATCTTTATGAGCCATATACACTCTTTTGATCAGCATGTAGTACTATATCATTTGTATGCACTCAGGAGCCTCTTCCCTGCCCTTTCAAAAATGTGTACCTACATTCTGGAGGTTGCAAAATGTTGCTAAGGAGCAACGAGGAAAACTGAAGTTCACAGCATATTTTGCCTGCCTAAAACCATTATCCATTGTCAGCTGTTTATCTTGTATCATCAACACGCTAGTTACAATTGCAATCTGACTATGGTGCATATGGAACAGCCTGGTATGAGAGGAGGCAAATGAAAAAGATTTATTCGCCCTTGCTGGAAGCAATTCTAGCCCTTTACCTTGGATTTGAATGGATCCAGGTAAATTGGTTTATTATGCACATCATTTTTCCTTTTGCTTGCAATTATACATAATTTCCCGTCATACCAAAATCACTTTTAATCAGAGGAAAAAAACTGATTATGCTTATTTTGATTGCTTATATGGATGTGAACAGACAAACAACATCTTCGCTCCAATCCTCACACATGGCATTTACTCTGCCGTTGTTTTGGGACATGGCCTTTGGAAAATACATGATCATCGGCGAAGACTACGCCAGAGAGTTCAACAGCTGAAATTGGAAGAGAAGAGCACGAGAAACTTGTAAAGCGGCCCTGTAAGGAAATGTAATGGTTAGATTTGGCGGAAACATGTATATTTCTTGTTTGAGTTTTGATTAGCCTTAGATCACCTACAGATGTACAGGCAAAGTCAAAAGAATACGCACAATAAAAAGTTCCAGTTGTAAATGGTAGCTTATACCGTAGAAAATCTACCATATACAGGATGTATTGGCAGTACCTTGGCACAAATTTTCTTTCCAACATCAGCAGGAAATTTTTTTTTTTTTGTCTTAGAACTTATACACCACTGTTTAGGAGTATGCTTTTTCATCAAAAGAACAACCAAAATGTATAACAGTAAATTAGATGCACTCAGTTCCTAGAAGCTGTGGTTCAATTAAAAAAAAAAAGGCATCTCAATTGATCCGTTCCCTTCTCAGCATACTTGTTAATTTTTCAGTGGCCGTTGCTGTATGCCGAAATCCGCACCAAAGAACAAGACATTATTAATGCTGACCATAAACTGTGTAAGCTCAGCAGAGGTTGAAGATTGAAGGCCATAATCTTCACAGTATATATACGGTGGGCAAGATTTATTGCCTTCAAGAAGCCTGTGATCAATAATCAATCTTCCAATTGTGAAATGATACTGGCAAAAACTTGGTAGCCCTGGCACATGTCAGTTAGAAGGCAGTACTCATTCTTGGCATGGTATGTAGCCATTAAGCCTGCATGTTTATCAAAAGAGCAAAATCCATTGATCCATCTGTTTTGGTGTAGCCAAAATTTACAGCAGCATATATATATATATCTTTTGCATCAGAATGGGTATAGAAGACGTCAACCAGGTTAGGTGTTAGCCATATGGAAGAAATAATTATCAAGAAGACAGATTCTTAACATGCTTTCATCGAGTTCCTTCTAAGATAAGAAGAATGGTATAACTGGCAAGTAACACGCTCAAGAAAGGATTCAAGCAACCAAGTTCTAGGAAAAATCATACTGCAGACCAAAACATCTTTTTCACAAAATACTACCAGAAGCATACAGCTATAAGCTTATATTATTTAAATAAAAAAGTGGTAGGATATGGAAGAATCTTACCATAGCCTGCAGTTTGGACATCAAAGCCCTCATCCTGCCAAATAACAAAGTTAGAAGGATGCCAAAAAATCTGAGTCTTATGACAAGCAAACTCATCGTACCTGCAATTCTCTAATAAGTGGCAAACTACCAGTAATAGAATAGGGCTTTACATGCCCCACTGCCTCTTCAGTCGCTTTACATAGGACATGGAAACCAGGGGATTCAAGATTGCAAGCAACTCCAGAATTTGCCGAGTCGAAACTTATTGTGATTCTGAGGGTAAATAAATTGTAAAACTGAATGTTACACAATGAGTACTGTACTGATATGCAAAGAAAAACTGATTCCATAAGACCATCACCTACTTCCATGCTTGAAATTATAATCTCAGGGTGCAATGCAATTCACAACATAAATACTTGATCAAGGAATGTCTTTATTAGTGGAAGGCTGTTCCATCCCCTATCTGGAAACAAAATTTCTCATGACATGGGCATTTTTTTCCCTTATGTCGTTTGCCATCAGTGCTGCCCATTACAACTCCCAAGGAAAAAGATAAAAGAGAACCCCCAACGTGATGAAGCATGTCTATGACAGGAAGCCCAAACCTAAATATCCTTCGATGAAATGCTTTCCAGTTTGCAAGAAAGATGTGGGACTTTCTTTTCTGTTTATTTGAACTTTGAAAGAGCATACTCAATTAAACTTCTGGGAAAGTGGAAAGATAAGAAGTAGAAACTGTAGAAAACAAGGGAGCTTTGGTTCTGTGATCCCTCCTAGTCCAAGATGGAGCATGTGGCTTTGAGTATAATGAAAGACCATTTGCAACAGAGAAGTCTTAGTTCAAGATCTAAAATGTAGAATTTATCCCATATTCATAGATTGTATCCAGGGACTGTTTTAACTTTTCGGTCAGTTTACAAAAAAATTTTGCATTACATTGTTGACTGTTGGGCCTAATATGGTTTCTTGCAGTGTTTATAATCTTAGGATGTGTAATTACCTTATGCATACTTCTTCTCTGTATATCAAAATTTTCTTGAATTAGTGGATAAATGATTTTCAATTTGACAAACTACAATCACCTTTTTCATTCCTACCAAATTTAAAGTGAAAGCAACAACCGCTCAGCATGCTCCTACTAAACAAATCAGTCGACAAAGGCATACCTTCCCCTTAGGTTTTCATCTGGTAGCACATATTTTGAAACAGGGCCCCTAGTATCAAGCTTCTCAATATTTTCATTTATGTCTTCGACATACTCCTGTAACTTCTTCAGCACATCTGATACACTGTTGAGGAGTGAATAATATATACTGTCAAACTTTTGAATTTTTACCTGAATATCCTTCTAAACTCAACTGGTAAAGCTACAGCAGACTAAGTACAGGAAGATAATTAGTTTAAGCCCAAAACATAAAAATGAAGAGGGCAAAGGAATTAATTGTGAAATATCATAATCTGATAACTTAAATCATCCACAATTTAGGAAGGAGAAAAAAGGAAAAATTTGCCACCTGTAAAATGGAGTCAACCTGCAAAAGTAAAGAGGCATTGTTAGAAGGGTTTAGAAGTTCAAGATCCTAAACAAGAATATATAAAGAAATATGTACCTAACATCGCCTGAAACTGTACATTCAGCTGGAATTTGGTTAATTCCACCACCTGGATCTGTAATATAAAATGCTTATTCAGAAAATGGAATTGGCTTGGCTGCTTATGACAAGTCAAATATCACACTTGTCCAAGTTCTTCCACAATGTGATCAAGACTTACAAGACCATTGAGTTGGTTTCATTGTTGATGGTGTTGCAAATCCATAAACTTGTTCCTTAGGATGAGGAGGGAAATCTTTATAGAACCGTAATTGGATCTCTTTGAGTGCTTCCATTGCTAGCTCAAAGGGATTAATAGCCTACAGAAAAAGAAAACTACTAAACGGAACACATTCACAGGTTCCTCCCAGTAATGGAGCATTCTTAATGTGCATGAACTTGCAGCAGTATTCCTCTTCAATCCCTCCAAGTTATTGTCCAGCTAAATTATCGTAACATTAATTCATCTACAGCCAAGCCTATCCCATTTATTTTTGGTGCACTGTGATCACTTACAAGGATTTATCTGTGAAAATAAGAATACTTCAAATGCAGTTTTTTCTGCATAGATAATTTAATTCAAGAGGAAATAATATTAAATGTATTTTTTGTGCTTGCAAAGTTAAAAATTTTTTTTGATGCCTCTCTTTTAGTTTAGTTTCATCATTCCAGAAAAATGGTTACTTTAATTACTTGATCTTTATCATAATATGAACTGCCTGCATAGTGACACAACTAAGAAAGTGACAGTATCTCTTTCCTGCACATGTGAGTTTTACACGAAGAATTAGTGCAGCTGATATGAGACAACAGAAAGCCAGAAAGCACCTTATGGGGCAAACCACTGTGGAAAAGCTTTCCGGTAACATGGAGTTTCCACGGTATCATGCCACCTGTCCCAATGCAAGGCTGTTTATCCGCTGTATCTATCCAAAATCTGTTTTCAAACACATAAACCATTAACCAAATGCCAAACAATTTAAACATAACCAATTAACCAAAAAAAGATTCTCATACTTAAATACTACTTTTATGTCCTTACAAAGGCCCTTGTTTCAACTTATCGAGCAATCCATCCTTAACCAATGCATCCACACCAACCCCAGGAATAGATGAATTCTCTTCACTGGCTATAAAAACAGCAACAACAGAGGACTTCAGCTGTGGCTTTGTCTCTCCCAGTTTCTTCATAAGTTCAGCTACAAGAGCGACATGCCCAAGGCAATCAGTAGTTCCACGTCCCCGTAGTTTATCCCCATCAATGCTCAGCGAAAAAGGATCAAAATCCTGAGGCATAGATATGGTCTTAGACTCTAAATACAAAACACTCGAATACTGAGGAGACAAAAATTTATACCCAGGTCAAAGAGCAGAACTCAAACTTACTCTGTTTCCAACCCCACTATTTACTTTCTGGAAACCTTGGAAAAAGATAATTACAATCACAGGTTCTAGCTAAATTCCATAATCATGCCCTCGAATTAAGAAATAGCTGGTTAAATCACTTTAAATACTTCAAATATAAGTTATGAGCTGAAGTAATTTTGTTTCGATGGAATACAATATTTGCAACAACAGAATGAGATAACCATTAGTTAGTAAGGCTAATGAACTCATTACCCCAAATCATAGCACGGGCCTCATAAAACAATAGAGAGCCAAAAATTTTCATTAAGGTACCAATTTAGGACTCAAGATTTAATTTCTTATAGTGAACATCCTTAGGCTACAAATCAGCAGCTACCGTAAAATGAGACTTGCATACATTCAATGTCTCACCAAAATTAACTAAGTTCCATAGCTCGTCATTGCATAACTACAATTCCCATACGGGGTTCAAATTCCTGGGGATAATGGATATGTTTGTAGCATTGTAGATGCAACAGCGAGATCTAACCATAATAACAATGAAAAGATTCAGAAAAATATTGCCAGTGTATAAAAACACAAAAAGTCTCCAACTTTAAACCTTGCACTATCAAATTTAAACTTCCAATCAAAGAAAGCCCTTTCATCATCAATTAAAACAATCTTCTTTTTTTCTCAGAATAGAGAGAGAGAGTTGCAAAAAGTAACAAAACCCAATTAACATATACCATTTTCTTTTGTCCTCATTCTGGCAAACTCACAAAACATATTTACAATCATTTTCAGTCAAACACAAGACAAAACCAATCATCAGAATGTAAGAAAAATCCCAAAATATATAATCGGATTACAAATAAATTACTCAAAAAAGCTAAAAGTTCAAAATTTGTTACCCAGTCAGAAGGGTTGGCAGTAACAACATCCATATGCATTCCAACAAAGGAAAGAATTTTGTTGGGCTCAGTTCCGGGATACTCTACAATCAGG